CTATAATAATTTTTCGGACTTGTAAGATTAAATAGCTATTAACGAAATTATTAATCATAATTGAGCGAAGGTTAATAAATTGAAGGATAAGTCTGTATAGTAAATCTTTTTATTCTATGGCTATCTCTTATAATATGAGGGAAATATAAATTAATATAGTATAATATATTATTTATAATTTTTACTAATGAAAATATATAATTAATTTATTAATAGTATTTATTTAAGTATTAATCCTTACTCTACGGAGTATAATAAAGATTAAGAAAGTCCTAATAGACGCCCAAAAGAACGTTAAATAGTAAACTTTAAATAAAATAGAGGTAAGAAACGAAAAATATTATTAATATCTTTTTTATTTATTATTATATTTATTTAATTAGCCGATTTAAATTATTATTCGTACTTAGGCCGATTGCCCTAAATATTAAGTATTTTTAAACCCCGACGTTATATTTAATAATAAGCATTATATCTGTAATTGTACCGATAAAATATTTTCTTACAAGATTTGTTTTAAGGTTTTTATTTAATATATAACTGGGTGGATTATATTAATTCCCGCTCTTTAAGTAAATTCTATATCGAAGGTTAATTTTTATTATTTAGTAAGTGGTATTTCGTATAAGCATTAATATAATATTTTTAGAAATATTCAATTTACTAGCATATAAGGTTATATTATATATTCGTATCAAAGAGTAGGATTGCTAGGAGGTTAAGATTCTTCCCGAATATTATAATAAGAATAGGCGGTTGGTAGCTATAAGTTATTAGGATAATTTCGTTAAGAAGTTGGGTAAGTTTTGAATAGGTATATGTTAGGAAAAGTAAGAATAGTATTAATATTAATATATAATTAAAATTCGCTGAGGTTACTTTTCATTATTTTAAAGTTTTATTTTTGCGTTTAGGCCGTAAGTAATCGAGCCCTAAGCGGAAGAGTAATAAATAAATTAAACTTAATCTAAGTAAATTATTAATTATTATCGATGTGAATAATTTTTAATATGAATATTGGATATGGTAAAATAAGTATTAATTGGATATATTTAATAGTTCGTACGAAGATTAGACGTTAGCCTCCTAGCGCGGATTTTTAATACCCCCCCCTTACCCCCATTTCTTTTTTCTTTTTCTTCCCTCTTTTTTCTATACCCTTTTTACTTCCGCCTCCGCCTCCGACAATAACGATAAAAATAAAAATAAGGATAAGGATAACAATATAAACGATATAAATGATAATAATAATATAGATAATATAGACGATAATTATTTGCTTTCTATAGTTTAAGTTAGTTAGCGTGATGTAATTGGGTATATAGTTTTTAGTGTCCGTTCCGGCTCCGGTTTTTAGCTACAATTTTATTATTAATTGAATTTTATCCCCTTTTTTGATTAGATTTTAGTTAATTTGAAGTTATATAATTCCGAGTCTCGTTGGCTTATATTATCGATATTTACGGCCGGTTTATTCGAATTAGTTTACTAAGTAAATTCGTTATTTAAATATTGGTTTAGAATTGCATTATTTATAATACGCGAGTTATACTGGTATTTAATTGTACTATAAATATCTATTTAACTATTCTACTTAAATAAATTTATTTATACTTCTAATTATAAATGCGATTATTACGGAGCTTATAGCGGTAATAGTGCGGTTGCTCCTTCTGTCGAATCCTTCTATAATATTTAATTGCGGCGGTAATAGTAGCGGGATAGGTATTTAATTTGTAGTAACGTATTGAAAGTTCAAGTTCTACTCCGCGGTCGATATTATCCGTCTATTATTATTATTCTTATAAATCGATATCCTTTTATTTATATTTAATTAATTGAAGTATTTAATTAGCTTATTAATATATATTAATATTATTATATAATTGGAGATATTCTTTAATTGATCTGGTAATATAAATTGTATTATTGGTTTTTAATTCCGTTCTTTTACCCTACTATTATTCGTCGAGGAAATTACGGTATGTTAATTAAATTCGATTATCTACCCGACCTTTTTAGTACCGACGCGAATTTGTTGTATTGCGATACTTCTATTCGGAATTGTAGTTATAGGTCGAATTGCGAAGTTTAGGGGTATATATACTATAGCTAAGTATAAAGCTGCAGCTATTAAGAGATTTTATAACGACGACGATAATAGTTAGCGCCCGCTATAGCGTCCCTAATTAGGCGGCTCAAGTTAATTATAAGGAGACCCCCCTGGCGACGATTCCGATGACCTTGATAATTCTGATGATGATTTTGATAATGATTTTGATAATGATTCTGATGATGATTTTGATAATGACGATTTAGACCCCGCTAGTCCTATAAATCCCGCTATCGATTCGTCTCTTATTGTCGACCCGGTCGAAGCGTTATTGGATGATACGGCGGCTATATTTAATATTTCCAATCCTCTCAATCCTGGTGGCGATTAAGCTGGTAATCCAATTAATAAAGATATAAATCGACGTTCGTTATAGAATATCGTATATATTAAATATAATAGAATTAATAAGTGTAGACGTAGATTCTAATTGATTCGAATAATAGGGTAGGGTTAGATATCGAAGTAGACGAACTATTTGTGACGGCGCTGGCAGACTAGATTTGGGTACTATATACGAAGTAGTTTATAAGATTATTAGAATGAGGTATATAGAGGATTCTAGGTATAGTACGGTTTAGGGGATGTAAACTATTTAATTGGCTATATTAAGACTAGTTGTAGGGTAGATTCTAGTATGTATAGGGTTTGTCCTGTAGGTGAAGGGGATACGAGTAAAGAGATTAGTTAATAGCGACCTATATATGGGTCCCGCTGTCGCTTGTGCGATTAGGGTATTTATTTAAGTTTGTATCTTTGTACTTAGTTCTCTTCCTTTCTTTTTTTCTTTATTTGAAATCTTTTATTATAAATAGAATTTTAGCTTTGCCTTTGATTTATTTATATTGTGCCTTTGTATTATTTTAGATTAATTTAATAATTACTTAGGAAAATTAAATCCTAAATTAAAAACGAAGTTAGAAAGATTTATTATAAGAATTTAAAGTACCGAATATTTATAATAATTATACGATAGTACTACCCTATTAAATACGTAATAGCGCCGGTAATTATAAAGGTATTAAGTAGATTGAGAATTATAATGACGATTGTTACGACGAGGATATTTTGGATAACGACTTCTTCGGTAAGGAGGGCGGAGATGGCGACGGAGAAGGAGGTTCTGGTTTTCTAAATCCTAATTTTAAGTAAGAGGAGGATATAGTTATAAAATTAAAATTTAAGAAGAAGGTCGCTATTAGCGATAAGTATAAGCCTATTAACCTTATTATTAATGATAATGCGTATAAAGCTATATAATTTAATAAGGAGTATTATAATAGTTTTTATTTAAATGAGGAATATTTTTACGGTAAGTTTACGATTTTCTATAAGAAATCTCTATATTATATATATTATTAGTTGAAATTATTCGACGAGGTATTAGTTAATGTAATAATAAACTAGGAAGATAATAATAAGGACTCGGAGTTGTTTTTCGACCTATTTGATTAATATAAAATAGTCTTCCCCTAGGACGGAGCCAAATCCCAGGAGAGACAGTGAAGCGCCCACGAATCCACATTGCTCCGGTAAGTCCACTTTTCCCGGCCACCCCCCGGCCCGGCTCCCGTACGGCTAATCCAAAGCCGGCCTCACGGACAAGAAACTCAATCCCCCTTATCGCTCCCAATCCTTCTTATCGCTCCCAATCCCTCTCGGGACTTAGTCATTTTCGAGAACTTAGTCATTTTCGAAGATTTAGTCATTTTTAGGGTTAAGGGATTTAATCATTAAAAGACTTAATTATTTTAGGGATTTAATCATTTGGGGACTTAGTTATTTAGGGATTTAATTATTTGGGGACTTAGTTATTTGGGGATTTAATCATTGAGAACTACGGTCGTATTTGGGTTGCAACTAAAAATTACCTTTCTCAACTACTTTTCTCAACGATTAAAGCAATACACCACCTATTTGAAGTACCAAAATGATCAAATTTTCAAGGCGAACATTTTGCACCTAGTTGCGTGTTGATACACTCAATAGTTGGAGAGTAGTATTAATTGTAATCGTTTTAGGAACTTGGTTATTTAGGAACTTGGTCATTTGGATACGATAGTCGTATTTGGAATAATGGTTGCATTAATAACCAAAATTACTAAAAGGTTATTTTCTCAACTACCCTAGGGATATACGAATAGCCGAAGATATCAAGATAATTAGAAAAAAAAGGCGGAACTTTTACATCTAATTATATCTTAATACACGCGATAGTTCGAGAGCGGTCTCAATTACAAGATATTTCATAGCCTTTTTGAATTATTATTGAAACTATATCTTACTTAGCGCTAGAATTTCCCTTTTGGGGTTACTAAAACGGGTATTTTTTTTTTACATTCTAACCTATAATAGACAGAATCGCCGCGACTTCCGCGCTTTGATGTGGGGCCCATAGACCCACGACCTCTGGTGTGGAGAACCATGACACTTTTAGGCCCCGGACATCGAGTCTCTTAAAGGCATGTGGGCTTCAATTATTTAGGCGGTCGAAGATATTAGAATTTTTGATATTCGAATAATTCGGTATAAAGTTATTGACGATTTAAAGTAAAAATGGAAGAATTTATTAAATTATTTATATACGATTCTATCTTTAATATTCTTTTTTAAATACTATTACTTTCGAACCTCCCGTTTTTTAATTATTTAATTGAGGAAAAATTCGTTGAATTATATTGTAGAGACTTTTAAATTATATTTTAAGAATTTAAATTATTATGTATTATAAGTATAGTATAGAAGGAGTAAGTATTGGCATTTTATTACTTTATTTTCTATTTAAACGTTAAATTTAAGATTATTTATAATTAGGTCCCTGTTTTGGCGGACTTTTATAGTGTTATTACCTCCGCTATAATTTAATAATTAAAAGATTCCTTTATAAAAAAAGGAAGATATTATTGAAGGATTAAAAGATTATATTGTTAATTTAAATATTAGTAAAGGAGTAATTAAGAATAAAAATAAAGGAAAGGTTAAAAAAATGGTACTTTCTAATATTAAGAAGGACGTTAGCGAGGTTCCCGTTAGGGCTTCTACTTGCTTTTTGATTTTACTCCCCGAAATTGACCTCGATAACGGAGAATATTTTAATTTTAGTTCCTACTATTGTAGTATTAAATAAGCCGGTTTTATTAAATATTATAATTAGGATAAAGAAGACGATATTCCCTTCGAAGATTAGTATAATTTCATTTAAAATAAATTCGAAATTAATGTTGATTACTATTTAACCGATTGCGATAAGTTTCTATACGTTAAGAGTTGCTTAGTTAACTACGTTTACCGCGATTTAATATTATATTTATACGAAATTTACCCGGATTAAATTAAGATTTATTCCGGTTTTATAATCTATTTATAGCGCTAGTACTATCACTTGAATTAGGAGGAGAATACGCTTTAGAATTTTATTAAATTGAAGATAAAAAATAATAATAATTTCGATTTTTTTAAGAATAAATTTATTCGGATAGTTGGCGAGTATTAACGTTTTAAGACCGAGTAGAAGCGTAAATTATTTTAACGCTTTTTAATTGAGTATAAGAAATAAATGGGGGCGAAGGATTGTAATTATTCTATTTCCTTTGAATTTTATTATATAGATTGCTCCGGTTTTGGATAAGTATTAAAGATTATCGCCGACAAGAATCAAATTGCTTTTAAAATTAATAAGAATAATAATTTTGATAGCAGTAATAAGGGCTTTGGCTTTAGCTTTACTATTAACTTTACTAGTAGAGGAGGCGGAGGCGCCGTATGTTAAAATAATAATTATAAAGCAATTATTCGATTATTTAATAAAGGTAGATATTTCTTCTATAAAGAGAAGAGTTATATTAAATGCGATTATTTTGAGAAGGAGCGTTTCGAACGCGAGCGTTGCGATTGTATTGCTGCTATTCGTTGACCGTTATTTAATTTATGAGAATGGAGGTAATTAAGTAGCCTTAGTGGTTCTGGCCGTTCTAGCCGTTAACAAGTAGGGAAATTAATTATCTTAGGTAAATTAAATTCTTTCTTAGAGGATGTGCCGGTCATAGAGTAATGGAAAAATGATAAATAGAAATATAAAGGAAAGGAAGGATTTAATTTAATACCCTTCTTAAGAAGAGAACCCTTACTTGTTTAATATAGTTTAATCAATAATAGAATATTTGTATTTATATTTAATACTTTAATTAATATAGGAATAAATAGTTATTCGTTTATTAGTACCGCTTTTGTTGAAAGATTAAAGAAACGATTATTAATAGAATTCATAAGCAATTTTTTAATTCGGGGAATTAGCGATTACTAAGAAAAAACGAATTAAAGTATTAAAGAAGTTATTAAGGCCGTTTTAAAGGTTTATAACCGAATTATGCTACCCGACTACTTCATTATAGTTAATATAGCGTACGATATTATTATTAGCTGGAAATAGTTTAATTTGTACGATATTGAAATAAATTACGTTAGCTGCCGCTTATTTTTCCCCTTAGAATAAAAACCGGACTCCGATTAATTAAAGCATTTTGAAGTCTAGAATTATACCGCCTTAATTAATTTTGTTTATTAAAAGGACGTAGGATATTATAATATATTAATAATTCAAAAGGATAAACGACGAATAGATAAAAAAAATAGTAGATAAATAATTATTCGCTTTACGAACGATTATATTTTAATGGAATCTATTTTCGACGGATAATTATTCTTTAATAAAAAATTATGATCTTATTCACGCTTTGACTATTCTAACTAGTCGCCTTATTTAGGCATACGGTCCTTCGTCGGTCAAGGCCGGGAGGAAAAACCGTACATTTACCAATACTGGATAAAAACCTCCCGCTTCTTTATATTTAATATCTATTTTCGTTCAATCTAAGCCTTCTCACCACCTTAGCAGCTTCTTTCGGTTCCTCCGCGGTCTGCCCTTCTACTCCCATCCTCAATTCTTATTGTCGTCCGGGATGTCATCTTATCTTTGGGGCGGCGCTTTATTGAGGGGTAGGTAGGGGGAGGGAAGAGGGGTCTTATGAATTCGTCCGTCGTTTTTGAATTCTTCTTTGGTAGGGAAAATTGCAGTTGAAAGGCGAGGGTAAGTATTACCCTAGTTACTAGGGAATCGTACGCTAATTGGGCAAGTAGTTATCATATTATTAAATGGGGTAATTGCTTTTCAAAGGGTGGAGAATCGACCCGAATTTACTATAAGGCAGCGGGGCCGTCGATGAGGAAGAGATTTTCAAGCGCCAAGTCGCTTTATCCTAGGGTTTTAGACTAGGGAGAGCCCTGTAAATTTAACCACGTGCTTCTAGTAGGGGAGAATTCCATCCGATCTAAGAACCAGAAAAGATCGGATGAAAGAGAGGGGAGCGAAATTCGAACCCACGACCTCACGGAAACCGCAAGGCAAATCCAAGCCCAGATCTTCCCAGCTGAGCTATCCCCCCATTGTTCTTTAATTATTATAAGAAGAAAGAAGTCGACTTCGAAGTATAAGATTAATATTACTATGAAGTTTGTTAATATTAGAAGGATATTAAGAAGCGTATTTTCGAATTGGAGGCCGCTTCTAACTTCAAACTTAAGACCGTCCTTATTACCCCCAAAGATTTTAAATATACCCGGGATGAGGATACGAAGGAATTGGGCTATATTATATTATATTATTTTCTTTATAACCCTACTACGATTCTTAAGAGGTTTAACCCGTTAGTAAAGTAGAATATAATTTAATTAATTTTACTTATTTTATAGTATTTTTTCTAGAATTTAAGAAACCTTGTTATTGAAAATAATCCGCCGAAGGAAAATAAGAATCGGATATTTAAAATATTTATTAATTAAAGCGCGACGGTATAGGTTGGTATAAGTATTATCTTACTTAAATATACGTATTGGATAGAGATCTTTTTATACGTTCTATTAAGAAAAATAACTAGACTGCCTATTTAATTAGTATTTTTGAGATCGATCGATTTATTTAGTAAAAACGAATTATTAATAACTCCGCTTAGGAACCGCTCCTCCGTAATGAGAAGGAATTCTATAAGGAAACTTTTCGTACGGTCCTTCCCGAATATTATAACGAAATTGAAGTTTTTAGTAAATATGATTCGAATACGTTATTAGAATATTAATTATATAATTATAAAATCGAACTGGATAAAGGTTATTAATTAGAGGAATTTAAGTATAATTTCCTATATAAAATGTCCTTTAATAAATTAAAGGTAATACGGAAGTATATTTTAGAAAATTTATTAAAGGGATTTATTGAGGTAAGTTCATCCCTATAGGTAATACACGTTTTATTTATTAAGAAGGCTAATAGTAATTTCCGTTTCTACGTAGATTATTGGCAATTTAATACAATTATTCGAAAAGATCGATACCCGTTACCGCTAATTAAAGAAACCCTTACTAAGGTAGTAAAAGTATAATAATTTACAAAAATCAATATTTACTAAACGTTTTATTATATTTAAATAAAATTAGAAGATGAGGAATTAATTATTTTCTATATTAGTATAGGAGTTTTTAAATATAAAGTATTACCATTCGGTCTTATTAACGGGTTAATTAGTTTTTACAATTTTATTGATTTAGTTTTAGGCGAATATTTAAGCGATTTTCATACCGCTTATATCGATAATATCCTAATTTATTTTAATACTTTGAAGAATTATAAAAATAATGTTTAAAAGGTATTTAGAAAGTTAAAAGAGGTTAATTTATAGGTGTACTTTAAAAAGTACGAATTCTATATTATAAAAACGAAGTTCTTAGGTTTTATTGTAGGACGAGATGGAGTTTTAATAAATTTAGAAAAAGTGGAAATTATTAAGGAGTAAGTAATACTTTTTTAATTTGAAAAGAGTTTAATCTTTCTTAGGATTTTATAATTTCTATTATAAGTTTATTAAAAATTACGGCCGCGTAACGCGTCCCCTTACGAATTTAATACGAAAGGGAGAGGCATTTATTTAAATTAATAAATATTAAATTGCTGTCGAAGATTTTAAAAAGTTATTTGTAGAAGCTCCGTTATTAAAGTATTTCCATTACAATATAGAAATAAAGGTTAAAACGGATATTAACAATAGAATATTAGTAGGAGTATTATTCTAATTATAGGAGGATATTAGAAAATAGTACCCGGTTACTTTCTTTTTAAAAATTATATAGGGTATTGAATATAATTACCCTATTTACAATAAAGAGTTATTCGCTATTATTAGAGCCTTCTAAATATAGCGATTCGAATTCGTTAACTTCCGGTAAAATAAATTATTTATAATTATTATTAATTATTAAGTATTCGAATAATTTAATACGAAGCGTTTTCTTAATTTTCAATAGGTTAGATAGGTAGAACTCTTATTTTAATATTACTTCGAAATTACGTATCGGCCCAGTATAAAAAATGTAGTAATAGATGCGTTTTTCCGAAAATCCGAAGGTTTTAAGATTTAGGAAGATAAGAAGGATGTGTACCGTACGTTCTAAATATTTAAACCTGTAAAAGAAAACGGAACCGAAATTTCTATTATCGTTTCTATTTTTATTGTTTCCGGCTTGCTAGAGGAATTAATTTTCATTATAATTTTGAATATAAATAAATTAAATCCCGTTAAACCGGAAGGATATAAATTAGTAGACGTATTTATGAAGGTTAATTGAGATGATGAATCCTTAGAGAAATATTACGTTTGTGTTTATAATTTAAATTCTAATTTTATAATATTAATTAATAGATTTTTGATATATTAGAATTGTTTAATTGTCCCCGAAGCGGATAATTTGCGTACCCGTATTATTAACGAAGCTTATTCGACGTTAATTATAGCTTACTTAGGAAGGAATAAAACTCGGGCGGTTTTTAAAATATAATATTAGTAATTACGGATAGTTAGAGATATTAATTACTTTATTAAGAATTATATAGTATATAAAATTAATAACATTTTTAAAAATAAGATACCAGAGTTATTTTATTCGATTCTTCCGCTAGTTTAGAAGTAAATGTTTATTATTATAAATTTTAAAAAGATGCCGAAAAATAAATATAATTTCGATAATACGTTAGTAATAATTAATTATTTATTAAAATTATTTTGGGTTACCTTATATATA